TAAGATAGAAAGAGAGAAAGAGAAAGAGAGGAAAGGGAAGAGAAAAATAGAGTAATATATGCAGGGTTCAATATGATTTTTTAATAATTTAAATACTTAGAAATGGAGAAGGAAAAAAGACTGGTAGAAGGCATCCGCCGTTATCTAGATCTATACATTAAAAGATCTACCCAGATCCAGATTAAAAGAAAGATATAAATCGAACAAGATTTGCTCATAGATGAGAAAGATTTCAATTTTTCGAAAAATATTCGCGACAGGATAACATTAATTGCAAGCCATTGATCAGCAAATCGCGATAGATATTATTTATACTAAATAAATTTAAAGCTTTTAACATTTTTCCACTTATATTTCTAATTATAAAAACATTTTACATCGAAAATGTACATATGAAAGCCGATAGAAGAATTTTGTTACATTTTTTAAATCAAATAAAACAATTTGAAGTAATAAAAGCTATTGTAATCGACTTCAGAATGAATATACTAAATTTGAAAAAAGCACTTCTCTAATATTTCATTTCAGTTACATTGAAAAACTAAGTTTTCTGTGAAAAAAATAGCATGCAATGCGTAAGATACAAATTTATTAAATAATGTAATAACAATAATGATAATAATAATAACATTAAGATAGTGATATTTAAAAGATAACTACGGTGCGAATTTTTCTATCACAGGGTATTACCCACATGCCCCTCTTATGAATTCGGATGGATCATAGGATAGACCTGATGGACAAACCTCGAATAAATAATAATAATAATAATAAAACGATAATACTAATATAACAATAATAAAATAGTAATAAAAATATTAAAATTAATAACATTAAAAGCAACAAAAGTTGTAATTACTACTTTTATCATTGTTTACAATGCTATAATCATCAGCATAATCATCGTCGTTGTTGTTCTAGTTATAATAATGTTTAAATAAATAAACGTTTTAATATTATAAGTTACAGCGATATACGCGCCATATGCGATTCATCTTGGAGTTAAGTTAGTTAGCAAAGTACATTATTTATAATTATAATTATTATTTAATGTTCATAATTGCGACACATAGATTTATGGTACGTGAACGTAAAATAAATCAAAAGACAACAACAGAAGTTACATTAATGCAAACATATTTTCAATACAGATATTATTAAACTGCCTTTGCGTAAATACGATCAGGAGATACTATTGTTAAAGATACTTGTATGTTATTAAAATTATCATCTGTAGAAAGTTTTGATAACAATATTATTTACATTTAAAAATGAAAATGTAAAAAATAAAATGAGTCTTTGTTGTTAAAATTTCACTTCATGTACTACACTGTAAAAAAAATCTTCGTCTCTCAGATTGTGTCCGAAAGTAAAATAATATTTACTAAGTCATAGAAATTAAAAAATATACAGAATATCGATTGTAAGTTTTGCGATTAATCAAAAATAATCATTAATATCTATGTCAACATCATAAATGGATTATCTATTTTTAAGAATATTTGCAAATAGTAGTGATTTTTCTCTCTTCACCAATTTTCTAAATCTTCGATTCAATAACTGCTAATGCTTTACATGTATTTCACTTTTTCAATCAGAACTGACTTATTCGATGATACTGTATCATTTTAATAACTATATATTATAGCAATGTTTCCTACAATTGCAAATCTCTTAAATTAATAATTATGTTTTTTACATCAGTAATGATATACATGCAATACTGCGCGACAATGAAACATTATATATATACACATTAATATCTAGATTAGCAAAAAATTTCTTAATCTTTCAAATTCATAAGAAAAAAATATATATATCGTATTATACCATCAAAATGCGATACCATGAAAAAATGAAACAAAAATCGAGAAGTTTAATTAAAACGTTTATTTGAAAACAATTTCTTAAGATACTTGTCTTTATCACACAGACCAATTAAATGGGACTAAACAAAAAATTCTTTAAGCAAAGCTACAATTGACTTAAGCGCTTGCCTAAAATAAATACGAATTCTCAGTACTTCTATACATGACCACATTGTTCAATCACTTTTTGAAGAATTTATTGCACTTAATAATCTTATTCGAGAAATATATATACACTTATTCCCTTTTATCAAACTATCCTTTTACTCTTATCATAATTTAATTGATGTTTTTTCATCTAAAAAAATAATAAATAAAAATTTCCTAAATATTTTTCCTGATCCAATTTTTAAATATTATGTATTTATATCGTACTGTTTTTATGCTTATTCTAAAAAGTTTTAAGAAACTAACGAAATACAGCAAGGTCCAGATTGAGCTTATCGTTGTGACAAAAATCTTGTATCGACTATTTGGTACAAGAATAATATAAGCGGATTTAGGATCAGTTAAATTTTTATTATATCGATAGAAACAAACATACGATAGGAATCTCACTGTAATTCGTTAATCATTATATAAATAGTAGGTTTGGCGTACAAGTACAGTGTGCAGCAAATAACGCAGACGTAACCACCATCAATATCGATTCAGATATTTTTGATTACATTTTAAGCAAATATAAATAATGTATTAATTTAACTTTTGATCCTATGATACAATCGTCTTGAATTATGACTTCTTTATTAGTTATTTAACGATGTACATATGTGCGTGCGTACGTATTCGTATGTATATGTGTGTGTGTGTGTGCGTACGAGATCTATTCAAAAAGACAGAACAGAATTTTTTGTTCGCGTGCTAATGATTTGAAGGAGCATTAAAATCGTCATATAATTAGAAAACCTTTATTTTAAAAATAAATACCACATGCAGTATTTTATCTCTAATTTTTTGTGCAGCAAATAGTATTGTACTATAAGCGTGTAATGAGTCATAATATGTTATGAGTGTTACAAGTACATGTGGTACATATTCATTTTTAGAATAAAAGCCAGTACGTGATAACAACGTGGTCTTAACACTCCTTTAAATTAGCATATAACAAAAAAATTTGGTGACTTTTTAAACATACTTCGTATGTATATATATGTACATGTATATATATATATATATACATGTATGCATATGTATGCATGTATATATATATACATGTATGCATATGTATGTATTTATAATATAAATAAGTCAACTAATATTAAATAGTTTTTTCTTTACGCGAAATAAGTTATTTACAAGAATAAAATGATAATTTCTTTACATTAATATATTACAATGTTTTGTTAGAAATATTTCAAAATAATGCGAATAAAATAACTTTGTGTTTTATCTTTTTAATATAATAAGAGACTAAATATTATATTAATTAGTATTTCAATAGTTCAAGAAAACATAAACAAAAAGTAATGTTGATTCCTTGTTATCGTTCTATATTTAGGACGTTTCTCTAAATTAAAAAATTTATATATTACAAGTTACAAAGTCATGCAACATAACGAAGAAGTGAGTGCTGTTTGCGCAAAATCCAATTGAATTTATAAAAATGTAATCGAATAAATTGTATAACAATCTTGTTCGAATACATTTTTATGCTTAACTTTATCATTGTATTGATTCTTTGCATTATTGATTCATTGTTTTATATGTTTTACGTCTCGAAGATTCACAAAACAAGTATAAAATTTCAGCGTGAATCGCAATATGGAAATGTCAATTAAAAAATTTGCATGCCAAAAAATGGAATCGTTTGATGACAAGAAAGTTATTCTGTATTTTCTATAAGATTGATAATAGATAGTTAATTGCATTAGATATGCAATTAAAAAATGTGTTCTTATCATTATCTGTAATTTAACCATAATATTGTTAATGATAAATATAAGATTATGGATATGAAATAATACATATTACAAAGATGTGAGTGCATAAAATGCGAGAAAGCGAGCATGTTTCAAATAATTGTCCCGATTGGCTATATAACGAAGTTATGCCAGTATATATGTAGTAGCTCTAAATGGCCTATTACATTTATTACATTATATAATTATTATACTTTACTATGAATAGTATGTATGAATAATAAGCCGTACTTTTACACTTGGTTGTATCGACTATTTATTTTGAAAGCATAAATGTGATTTTATTAGAATTATAAGAGATATGTCTGCGGATGTGTTATCAAATTATATTATCAGACTATAATTGGATGAAGGTAACATAAGACACGATGTAAAATCATTTCCTTTATTAAAGATTTTTTAAAATCATATGGCGTTTTTTTTATTAGCAATTTTTATGTTAATGGTTAAAGAACTTATGTTACAACTCTATAATTAAGTATTATTAAAAAAACATAATGAAAGTAACTTTAACAATTATTTCACATTAAAATTATTTATGTTTATATTTGCATATTGTTTTTTTTAAACATATATATATATATATAAGCTATGTGTATAAATAGCATAAAAAACTTCTAAATTATATACTTTTTGAGACTAAAATATGAAGCTAAACCAACTGTTATATATAATTAAGTATATATATAAAATAATATTTAATAAAAATTGCAATGGATCATAATATATTATTACTCTACATTTCGACAAAATGTATAATTAAAAATCAAGAAAAAATATATGCGTAATGAACACATACAAAATATACATATACTATACCTATGTAATAATATCTTATTAGCTAAAAAAGGCAAAAAATATGTAAAAACTTAATTTTTCAAAGAATTTTCACAAAATTGTTACAGCTTTTTCAGACCAAATACAATTATGAGCTGTCTGAAGGTTCAAGTCTCGCTTGCGAAATATACAAAAATTGCGAAGAAACTCAGAACAATTCAAAGAGAATTACAAAAAAAAACGACAACAAAGACAGCGAGGTGCCCGAGACCTTACCGACGAATTTCGAATTTCACAAAGACGTTCGCCAGCAGATGGCGATTACGCATAAGGCGTCGTTAGGATGATAAACAACGTCGCGGCCTTCAAATCCGTGTCCAATCGTCAGTGACCTCCAAGACTTTTCAAATTTGAACGTGAAATCGATCGACTGTTATTATCAAAACCTAAGTGGGAATGTGGGTTATGCGTGATCGCGTCTGAGCGAGCGGATCCGTAGACTTTACGTGACTGTGTAACGATGAGAGACTGCTGATACAAGTGATAAATCCGTTCCACGAATTGTTCGTCGTACCATCGCCACGATTGGAACAAAGGATCTATACAATGTTTACTCCTGTCAGACCTAAGAATCCCGGCGTGCTAAATGACACAGTGTTGAGCACTCCGCTACCACAGGCAACGTCCACTGCTTGCAGAAAAACCACGTATGTTATCTCAGGCGTTCTCTGAAAAAGTCATCCATTTCCGCGAATCAACAGGCGTTTCGTTAAAGAGCCTTTCCCTTTTGAGTATCAATTATTCAAATCAATTGTTGTCCTGCTATCCACTGATTTTTCAGTAATATACTCTAATAACACTTCATTAAAATATTCATTACGTACAGAATCACAAGAATTACAGTTGATTTTAGGTAATAGTTACTTTCGATTTTCACATAAGTGGCACTGGGTTTTTACAAATGTATTTTACACTCAGATATAATGATATTGTTATTCGCTTACTTTAATAAAAGACTCAGTAAAACATATGGAATTGAACTTGTACAGATTGTAGGTAAAAACTCAGTTGAATCTCATTTGTCAGAATAAAAAAAACATGCATTCATCAGTTGAGTTATGACTTCACAAATGAGAATTATTTGAGTTTTGGTATAAATGGAAAGCAACTATTATTTATGGAGGTGGATCTTAAAGATATTTTGTTTCAGGTTGGAGAACAAATTCAGTGATAAGCTGCAATCAAGTGAAGAAAAACTCAAGCAGGAGCTATCATTTGACAATGAATCACAGAAAGAGGATACCTCGTTAGGTCTTCTTGATAATATGTCAGGTAATGAGATCTTTCAAATTTATGAGTATTAAGTCATTAGAAGAACATATAAGAGTCAGACGCATGTGTAGGAACATAAAATGAATAAAGAATTTGATCTTAGAACGTATATACGTTAAGATTCCTATTATTCTCAAAGCAGATTTTTAAAATGTTTAAAATTACATGTTTTGATTGTATTTTCAAGTCTTCTTTAAATTACAGGGTACATATTATTAGTAAACAAGAATTCAAACATCTTAAAAGTTTTCTTCATACGGTCATCTAACTGCTTGTAAGAAGTTTGTTATGATGCTAGGAATAATTTGGCATGAAGATTGTTAAAATGTTCTTGAATTCTCATTTATTACAATCTGAAGAGGACTTGAAAATATAGCTGAAACATGTCATTTTATGAATTTTGAAAATTATTTTGCAAATAATGGAAATCTCCACATATATAATGCTTCTAAGATTAAATTCTTTATTTGTTTTGCACTCCTATATTTGAATCTGACTCTTACATGTCTATTTTAACATATTAATTTGTTGCAATTTGATAATAAGAATCCTATTTTTAATACTTGTTCATTAACATTATTGTATTAATGAAACTATACTAATATGTGACATTGATGACAGATCTCACGAACATAAGCACACCAGAGGATGAGCAAAAATTGAATTTTTCCAGTATAGATGTAGAACTTGAATATGCCAGAAAAATTCTTCAGAAATGTAGCGATAAGAATTCTGCTTTAACCACAGGTAAATAAAAATTGAAAGAGGATATACAAGAATATATTATATGTATGCATAAATTAATTCCAATTTTAATTTAAATGACAATTGTTTTAGACACAAATAAAGAAAATAATGCTAATGTGCAAAATATAACAAGTAATATGCCAGTGTCAAATTTTACTTTACCAATTGAAGCTTGTATGTCTGAGTTAGACAAGGAGTGCAATATGAGTCATTCGGTGAGTAAATCTAGTATATAGCTAATGTAGGTCTCTATGTGTGATTTAAATATGATTTATAAATATTCAAAAAATTAGAATATTTTAGAAAAAGTAAATTCCAGGTTACTTTTGAACCCAATGAAATAACAGCACGTTCATCTGGTGTCAGTAATAGTGCTAAAAGACAATCTCTTATAAACTTATCTTTTCCTGGCATTAGTTTTAATAAAAACGACATAATGACACAACTTAATAACGAGATGATGACAGAAGAATTTTTATCTAATACAAAAGGGGCTGAACAGTTGTCGATGGATCAGACTTGTTTTGCTCCACATCATAATTTTACATATTGTACATCAGGCACGAAAATAGGAAAGCAAAAAGATTTAAGTATTCTTTCTGGTATCATTGGAGAGTTAGATTTATCAATCGAGTATGTATGTTTTTGTATACATATGGATGTATTATATGAAATACATGTTAATATAAATTAAGGTCTAAATTATAGATCTTGTTCTGGACGAAAAGTATCTGTCGGCAGATACTTTGAACGTAAATCCGATGATTTAGAAATGCTAGGATATGGAAAAGTAAACTCAAGTCTTAAGGTTTTAGAAACCCCTATAAAAACAGGCAAATTACCAGTATTAGTTGAATCGACTGTCTCAACAGATGGTAATTATTAACAATCGTTAATTAAATAAAATTAAATTTCCTCATGTACACTAAAAATTATATTGTAGCAGCAACATCGACAATGGAATTGACAGAGAAAGAGCATACGCTTAATCCCAATATAACAAGAGACATTGATGAAAATAGTATTATAAGTTTAAACACTATTGTTAATACTTTAGAAGATGTTAATAGCGGGACACCACGGCGAATAATTGATCAGCTTTTAATGGCACAGAAGAAAAAATATTCTCAAATGTATAATAATATAAGAAAAGAAAACTCCAATGAAAAGTCTATTTTAACAATGTCTGTTGGAAATTCAAACAAGTTTGATGACATTAATATAGAGAATCTTACAGCTAAATTATCAGCAGACAGTAAAACTAAAAATGAACCTATAAATGAAATTGTTAATATAAAACGGGAACGTAGAAGCGTATCATTTCCTTCTAATCAAAATGTGAAGAAGGCCGAATCCTTCACGAATATACCTAAAAAGAAAATGTTAGAGGAGAATTCATATGATGAAAACGTGGTACCTTCAGTTAATCAAGATATAGGTATGTAAATTGAGATTTTTACATTTGATTCTTTTATGGATTTTATTGCTCAATATAGTGTTTCAATTTTAATGTTCATATATCTGATATTAGTATATATTATACAAAATATTAGTATATTGTAATCAATTTTTTTATAATTTACTTTTAAAAGATTAAATTAGAATTTGATATATAAATATCTTGACATATGACTTTTTAACAACTAGGTGTATCATCAACATCAGATCATACATTTTCTTTACAAAATTCCACATTACCATGTAGTGACAAATTGACTGCATTGTCCTACGTACCATTTAAAATGAACAGGAAAAGTTTTGATGAAGAAAGCTATAAAAATTTGAATATACAAAATAAAGAAGAAAATATTTCTAATAGTATGATAAGCTCATCGCTCTCAGTGAACAATATGGATGCGCAGACTGATTCAAGTAATATAGTTCATTTTACTAACTCAAATTATGATAGATGTGCTTAGATATGATAATTTTTTTTTTCCAGAGAACGTCGTTTTTGGTAAGAATACTGAAGAAGCATGCAATTGTGTTGTTGGTATGACGAATGAAGTAAATGTAGAACTCATAAATAATGGAGATAGATGGATCACGTATATCTTTAAGTTAGTTGAAGTAGTAGGAGATATACGAAGTATTGAATTAAATATTCCTTCGAAGGAAATTTTAATAAATTCTAATAGTACTCAATCCACAAAGGTATAATTCACTATCAACTGAAAATGAATTTTACTTATAACAATAATAACCGGACTGTTTTTTTTTTTAGATTGAAGTAAAAGTAATAAAAATGTGTAAACCAATATTTGTAGTACTAAATATAGTTCTATCAGATATGGTAGCAAAATCAAAATGGTCTATGAAACACATAATCTTTGTTAATCCAGAGCAACTTGAGCTTGATATTGTATGTCCTTCTGACAAACAAAACTTGAATTTTCAGTACATCGGAGACGAAACAACCAAAGTTCTGCCTATAACATTTCTTAATAAAAACAATGTTGCTGTACCAATAAAACTGTCAATATTAGAAGTGAGATATGAATTTAATAAAATGTAATTGGATCAATGTACTGAAAACTGATTATATATTTTTAACTCGTAGGAAGTCACAAATATGTTTAGTATTGATGGATTAACACATTTTCTACTTGAACCACTTAAAAAATGTATTACTAACATAAAATGTGAAAAATCACGATCTACATCAGTAGGTAAGTATTTTTTATACTGGTTGTATAATTTTGTATACAGATATTGGTTTATTGGAGATGTAAGAAAGTTTTGTTAAATAGATTCTCCGCAAAAACAGCCACAACATTGGAAGGGCAAACTAATTGTATGTGTACAATCTAAGGATGACACTATATTACTTAAAAAAGAAGTGTCTCTTTACGCACAAATAGGTATTTGTAAGATCCAAATCATCGACACAGAAGTACCGATAATTGTTTCAAGACAGCAAGGAAAATCGATAAATATTATTAATTCGGGAAATATGGCAATTCAAGTGTTCGCAACTATCGTACCATTTGAAGGACATACAAATGCAACGCAAGATTTTTTTATAAAGCCAGATAATATATTTTTGCAAGTTGGAGAAAGGAGTTCATTCTTAATTGTATATAAACCACAATTTTCAGATGCAAACTTTGTAGATAATGAAAAGTAATGATTAATTTCTAAATTATAAATTTATACTTTAACCATATCATACTATTTAATTATTTATTGTTATTTTTTCAGATATGCAAAGATTAAGTTAGTTGCTGGAAACAATGTTTACCACTACATTATAAGTACTAAAAAATTATTAGAATCAGAACAGGAAAATTATGTACGTTGTCATACGCCTAATAATGCCATATCTCTAAGTCCAGCAACATCGCCACAAAGTGTAACATCTAATAGGTAGGTTTTTAATGTTTTTATGAGTTTGCGCACGCATGTGTACATGCGATATTATTATTATTATTATTATTATAATAAGTAATAATATATTATTATTATTATAATAAGTAATAATCTTTTTATGTATAGATCTGGACCTTGCGATAGAAATTCACCAATCAGTACAGTATCTAGTTTGGCTGTAGCAGGACATGTAATTCCAATCAGAGCTACACACGCTGCCCTAGTATGGAATAGTGTAAAAACAGGAAAAAGTGAAACTAAAGAATTTACAATTCGCAATACGAGTAATAACAAGATTAAAATTCAAATAGATATATGTGATGACAGTAAGAGTTTTAAGGTATTGTATATACATATATATATTTTGTTATTTCTCTATGTAGTCTATGTAAAGAAAAAGTAAAACAATTTACATCAATATCTGTTACAGTTTCTCGGAGATAAACAATCTATCAACACAAGCCTAGTCCTAGTACTGCAACGTCAAGAAAGTAAAACACTTGCAGTTATATTCAGTCCATATTGTATGGGCTCAGTAGTTGGAAAAATCACTATCAAGCATTATACAAGAGGGAGTAGTGATTCTCAACAGTTTAAAAAAGTAGGTATATTTATAATGATAACTTACTACTTTTTAACAAGAGGAAGAGAATATTTATAATTTCAATTGACACACAGATACCTTTGTATGGATATGGAGGTTGCAGTAAAGTAAAAATTTCGGGTCCATTTAAAGATTCGAGTAAAAAATTGTGGTTGTCACTTGGCAATTTATATTCCGAAACTATGACATTGAGCGCTGGTATTAGACTAGATAACATTGGTGACTTACGTTCATTCGCCAAAATCACGATCATACCGAAAGGTTTGATTAATCTTCCTATTCTCTTTATATGTTATTATATCAATATGAGTTACACATAGATATATATATAAACGAAATAAAAATAAATTCATATATTTTAGTTTTTTCTCCAAAAATGGATTCCAGTTGGCACATAAATCCAAAGGAAATAATACTTGATTCGAAAGAATCTCAAGAAATAATAATACAATTTCATCCAAAGAGAGAAGACTTTGCGTTACTGCAACGTTCGGAAGTGTCGCATGTGGCAACTATAAATGTTACTTATGGCGATGAACCAACCCGCTGGCGAATACGCAGGTAAACCGTACATTATATATTCAAATAGACATTTATTGGCACGCTTTTCAAACTGATAAACGTACTCTTTTTGTTAGTAATAAACAATACGTTAAACAAGGGCGAAGTAAGAGTTAGATTATAATTAAAAATCTAATTATAATAACTCTGATAATTTATTATAATATATTGCGAAGAATGTCACGTAATTTTTGGCGTTTCGTCCCGGTTTCCACTACAATGCCTTACTGATGAATCCAGTAGTGGAAGCTGGGACGAAACGCCAAAAATTACGTGATATTCTTCGCAATATATTATAATAAATTATCAAAGTTATTTAATTAGATTTTTAATCTGACTCTTCACCCTTGTTTAACATATTGTTTATTATTATATAAAAGAGTCCTTAAAGTTTTCAATTTATTTCTTTTTGTTAGATTGTATAATAAATTTAAAGAGTCAGGTGAATCGATTGAAAGTGAAAATGAAGCATTCAAGAATATTGTGCATCCCATATGTAAAATTTTTCCTGGAGAGCAATTAATTCCTGGCATAACGTCAATTCGCGATTCTATTGTAAGTTATATAAATAAATTATATCATTTAGCCTCATTACTGTTTATATAATAATGACAGCGTGTATTTAAATAGCAAAATCTAAATGATCTCTGCACTGGCGTTCATCAATATGAGATAATGCTCACAGTGGAGGCATGTGCGGATGAAACTTTACCCGTTCATTATGATACTGATGAATCGGAAATGTATCAGTCTCTTATTAACGACACTACATATTTAGATGAAGCAGGTGGAGCAAGTTTCTTCGTATCTCAGTAAGAGATTAAAAATTTTTTTCTTTTCTAATATGCATATTTCTCATTATGCTTTATATCAGATTTTTTATGACTGTGTCAATTTAAAGATTTCTTGTTAAAATATCTTGTTAATATTTTATTACAGAACTACAGAATATGAAGTTCAACATCCTGAATTGCAAGATCAATTCACCGTAACTCCGTATACCATCACCCTGACTCCTCCAGTTAAAAATGAAGCAACCGTGACTATTCATAGCTTTTTCAAAGAAGCAGAACCATTTGAGACCAGTCTATCAAATTCAGATTATTTCAGTGTTGTTCCTGCAAAAGGAATGTTATCTAGTAAAAAGAAATTTCCTTTAAAGATACAGTGTTCACAGAAACTAGATCGGAATATGCAAGCTGTACTTGCAATTTATACAGAAAACAGTAAACAGGATGTGTTGATTAAAGTCACAGTTAGGCGATAATAATCCGTTATGCAAGTAATATTTATTTATATAACTATTGTAATTTTAAGAATTTTACAAAAATGATATTTTTTATTAATGTAAAATGACGTTTTTACAAACTATCACGTGTTTTTCTTCAATATATTCCTTGTTATTTTAGTCTGTTTATTATTGTTACTTAAGTTTATCGCAGAAGTTGTTAATGACGAAGTAATTTTAAATTGCGTTGCGTGTCTCTCTTTTAAAGCTAGTATTATCGATATCATATTTTTCACATCGTCAATCCCCGAATGTAGACGTCCTTTTAACGGAATATTCAATCGCACAAGCATGTCCTTTAAACTCTTGGGGTAATATCCGGTAGATTCGCAAAATGTGTGCTTCAAATCTATCCACTGCTTGAACTGATCTGGTAAAGTAATACCATCCAGATCACATTGACTCGGCAGCATAGTTTTTAAATCCCAATTACCGCATGTGACGAACGAGCTCTTCTCAGGTTTGTCAAAGTATCCTCCCTTAGTCAACCATTCACAGAAATTTGAAAATACATCCGTAAAGTAAGGCTGATCATCCACCATCTCCTGCATGATTCCGGTTAATTCTGTGCAGAACGGCGTGAGAGTGGGATGGACTCTGGGTTTCACATAAGTGTGAAACGTGTCCTCCAATTTCCACTCGCAGGTGGACAGCACTGCGCATGGTAGCTCGATAATCTCCTGTGGCCTGAGCACCTCATACCTCTCGCATGTGGCCTCAAAGTCCATTACAAGAAGATATTCAAACTGTTGTGCTACCTCGCGGAAACGATTGATCATCGTTCTGGGATACCTTTGGAGAACTCGATGGGCCATGCTTATCCTCTGTACAAGTGGATCATATCCCTGTGTAGTTTTCAAACAAAACAAAAATTTTTAGATGAAGTTGTTTGGCCTAGTTTGTCCCTTATTTATTTAGTTTTTCAGTAACTTTATTACTTGTTTGTTCAATCAATTGTGAATAAATTTATCACGACATTAAATTTTATGCAAAATATGCTGTATTTATTATTACATCAAGGTTGTTGATCAGTGTACATAATCAAAAGAGCAAAACTATGAAACTGTGTGATTAAATACTATCGAGTAGCCTTAACCCTTAACTGTGGATATGTTTTTATTGCATACTGGTAGATAGGAACTACTTTTGACAAAAAAAGAAAATAGCTTAAGGCTTAATTACTCTTTGAATTCTTTGGAGGAGAGCTCATTCTAAGGAATGAGAAAGCCAGTTTGATAAAAAAAAGAGGCTCAGTTTTCAATTTTTAAGATCCTTCGATATAAGATTAACTTTAATCTCAATGTAACCTTTTTTCTTTTTTTAATCTTTAGAATTAGAAAAAGATAAATTGAACCGAGATTACAGTTAATTTTACATTAATAGAACCAGGCCTGAGACTTCACTCCTCAGAATGGGATTCTCAAGGTGAGATTTAAAAGTTTTAGAGAGTAGATAATATGTTTTTATTGTACACCAGTGGCTACGACTTCCACTTTTAAATATGAAAAAAAGAAATAAAAATAATTGCTCTCCACTATGTAGATGTTCCTGCTGATAAATAAAGTTTGATTTAAAAATAGGTGTTGATCGAGTTTGGGAAAAAAAAGTGGTAGAAATTCCAGAGACTCAAAAGACAACAAATAATCCCATCCACAGTTGAGGTTAGAACTCTCATAGTTTGAAAACAATATATCTTTCGACGTTACCTAACAATCAATTCTTTTGTGAATTAATGCAATTCTGTTAAGAGAAGTTCAAATTTGAACACGAGTGCGATAAACGCGCGTCAAAACGATTTCACAATTTGTGGAGCGAAACTCTTGGAATCTCTCTCTCTCATGTTGTCATCGCCATGTTCTGCGTGACGGCGCAACCGGCGAAACGCGCGGTAAGAGTATAACCTTCAAATTATTCAAACGGTTCAGCGTGATATAACCTTAATAAAAGTTGAAGGCACATTATTCCACTAACCGGTGGATATAGAAAAGTCAAACGGAATATTGAGAGTTGACGATTTTATAGCACGATGACGTCCAGCAATGAACAAGTAAATTTACCATGGTGAGTACGAAACTCGAGACTCGATCAAGGAACACCGACTGAGAATCTTTTCGTATTTTAGGGTCGAAAAGTATCGTCCTAAAAGCCTGAATGAGCTTATTTCCCATGAGACAATAATAAAGACAAGTAAGTAAACGACGCAGGTAAATAGGACGCGTAAATATACATAATTCGCTTTATTATACGTTGAGAAAGGAATTGCTTGTTGCAGTAAACAAGTACATTGATGAGAATCAACTACCGCATCTTCTCCTCTATGGACCACCTGGGACAGGGAAGACCAGTACTATACTGGCGTGTGCTCGTAAACTCTATACTCCAGTTCAGTTCAATTCAATGGTTGTGTATCTGTCATTGAATAATTCTATGTCTCTTTATGTCATTCATTTTCCTTACTTTACTTACATGTATTCAGGTATTAGAATTAAATGCTTCTGATGACAGAGGTATAGGTATCGTACGAGGCCAGATCCTGAGTTTTGCCAGTACAGGCACTATGTATAGATCTGCATTTAAATTAATTATCCTGGATGAAGCTGATGCAATGACGATCGATGCTCAGAATGCACTCAGAAGAAGTAAGCATGTTATCTTAATATTTATAGATTATAAGGTATCAATTAGACATTAATAAAAATTAAGTTATTTTGATATTAATTTCAGTTATTGAGAAATACACAGATAATGTGCGTTTCTGTATTATATGCAACTATCTAAGTAAGATTATCCCAGCTCTGCAGTCTCGTTGTACTAGGTTTAGATTTCTACCTCTTGCAGCAGAACAAATAATACCAAGACTGAATCACGTCATTGAAGCAGAGAAGTATGTGAATGATGATTTATTTATATGATATATCTAATTACTTGATTTGTTTTTATCCCAAATCTTTCATTAATAAACAATTTTTTTTAGTTTAAAAGTTACAGAGGACGGTAAGCAAGCACTGATGACGTTAAGTGGCGGTGATATGAGAAAAGTAATAAGCGTACTCCAAAGTACATGGTTTGCTTATGGTGCTGTGAATGAAGAGAATGTGTATAACTGTGTTGGACATCCGTTACCAAGAGACATAACTAGTATTGTAAATTGGTTGCTAAACGAGTCTTATGATACATGCTACAAAAGTATCCTTTTATAGTAACAGAGATTTTAGAAATAAGATACTTTTGATCGGTATTCACACACACACTTTAAGATCGTCTTAAGTAATGTTTTAAAATGCAATCAGAATATTGTTTTGTGATTGGTTTATGATATTTCAGGGCTGTACTTAAGACAGTCTTCCATATAAGAACCAATTATGAATACTGGTATTTATGTCAGATTTTATATAATCCTTAATATATATTAACACAGAGATTCAAGAATTGAAGTTAAACAAAGGACTTGCACTGCAAGATATATTGACAGAAGTTCACTCATATGTAGTTAAAAGTATGTATCGTGTTCAATATGTATTCGAAATATTCGTAATTATTACTATAATGAGTATGTTTTTAGTTGATTTTCCGGATCAATCAACTAGTGACTTACTGTGCAAAATGGCAGAGATAGAGAAAAGATTGGCTTCTGGATGTCGCGACTCCATTCAAGTAAATTCTCTTATATCAGTATTCCACAGTGTTCGCGATATTGAAACGTGATATCTTCTGTCACGCGGATTGGAAGATATTTTGTAAATCTAAAAATACTCTGAATATACTCTTTTAAAATAAAAACTTGTTTGGTATGTATATACATATATATTAGTGACACCGATATATGAATAAAGAGAATAATTTTACGGTGGAATAATTTTACTATCTAAAAAAATAAATTTTTAAAGCAAAAAATCTTCCGTAAAAGAATAACAATCCTTATTTTTTCTAGAAAAATTTGATAAGTACATCATGTATATGTCAAAAAATGTAATAAAATTGTACAATACAACAGAGCTGATTTACGATCAGTCTATAACTTCATTCCCCGTAGACTATTTTTTTCCTTCAGAAATAATAGATCTACAAGAGCAATGTATATCTTAGATACAATACGAGATTGCTATCGTCGCTTGGCTTCTCGGCTTAATTGCATTCTGGCGTGCGCCTTATCGACATCGTACAAAAATTTAAAAATAGCCCGTCAAAGTATAAGTAGCGAATCAGTCGAGTCACCATCGATTCCTCGGTGTCATAAATTATAGCCCCCATTCCGTTCGCCGCCACCCCTCTTTCCGTCGTTGCCCTTCGGGATCGTGATGATATCCTTACGTGCGCGGAAAAGTGCAAACTTCATTCAAGAGATGATAACTTTCACGAGCAGACAGCAAACATGGATCAGAGGGTCGGGGGAGAACTCGGCGGCGTCGGGCTACAAGTCTGCAATCAGTGTATTCCGTACTCCTGCAAGTAGGAGCGGACCGACAGTAGCCCGGCAAATGTCGTCCAATCAGCACGCGATCGTTCGAGCATCACGTCGACGGGAACCACATCGAAACTTTGAGCATGCGAGCCTCGTGTAAAGATCCTGTCGTAGAAATTTAAGGCTGACCTCACGTAAACATTACTCTTCATGTGGAAACCACACGACGCAATGTAATTAAAATATCCATGGAGTAGCTTGATTTAATATTTGAAAGTTTTCGTGGAAACGTAGAAATATTGTTCACAGAAGAAATCCGATCGCGACACAATTTATTGACAATTTTGTTAAATGAAATCTGTTTCGTTAATCATCTGAAGGTGATGGGTCTCTAAATTGGATCTATTCAATTATATTCTTTATGTTACATCAAAACGCACTATGAAAAATCCCGGTGAAATGAGTTAGTTTTCACGGTTTTTATACATATATAATGTAGATTCTAATATGGTGAACAAAAGATGTTATAGACACATGATTTAATTATTTTTTAACTATGGTATATCAAAACTGTAAAATTTGTACTCACAGAGTATCTTTGATACACCGTAATTAGAAAATTATCAATTATTGAGTCCTGTGTCTATAGTATAACATCTTTTGTTCATCACATTTTAATAGCACTTTCGATCGTAGCGGGTTTGAGCTGACCTAGGTCGGATTAATGACGTTACATACTCTACTATTGGTTGACGTTACATGTTCTACCAATAGTAGAGCATGCACGTCATTAATCCAACCCAGATCAGTTTAACCTGCTACGGTCGAAAACGTTATAAGCCACATTATAAGTAAAAATTAATTAATTTTCTTTTTCTACATAATTAGTCCTTTGAATTATTAAAATAAACTTAATATTCATTTTTTATACGACTTATTTTAGTTCCTTGAAATTAATTAGTGCCTTTTAGTCAACATAAATTAAATAGACCCAACATCAATAACTTTGTTACAGATTTTAACATCATCTTCGAAGGGTTAAATGAAGATCCTAACCGCGTAATGCACTTCTGTTGCCGCTCTCAATCTCTGTATTAATTAACAGCTGCGTTCAGCGGAAAAAGCAGCTTTGTAATTGTTGTAAAATTCTTTGATATGATTGATCCTTCATTCTTCATTAGAATCATATTAAAGAATCGTAAAATAATTGCAAGGCTACTTTTTCACAGCCATTTTTGGCTGTTGTAGTTTTTAATTTTCTACTACTTCGGAAAGCGGTTGTTCTTTTCGATATAAAATATTCGGCGCGAGAGTTCCTTTCGACCCGTTACTTACACGAGCTGCGTCTGCAGATTGTATAAAAAATAGATGCGCGCTAATAGGGAACGAGAGGTGACGAACGTCGAGGAAAATCGAGGAACTTTGGCAAAGTTAATTATGCAAATGTTTTCGCGTGTATTTTAGCACAGAATCGAAGGGTTTAATGGATAAAATGAATCGCGGGAAGATATCCGCTTTAATTCACGTGGCTGGCATTCGCGTATATCTACGCGTCGGTAGCGAACTTGTGCGACAAGCGTTACAGCTGTAGATGCGAGAGGAGAACATAAAGCGGCTTATATCTTCTACAACGTGGCGGGACCCATCATCCCCCGTACCGCTGTAAACCTATATGCAATCCGTGCTAGTGGAATGACCCAACACCAGTCCCGGCACGCCATTAACTCCCCTCCCTCCGCGTGCAATCCACCGTACGTGTACAATCCGTCGTACGTACAATCCGTCGTATTTTCGTCGAATGTTGCGAATATTTTACCGAACGGAGCTTATACACGCGCAGGGGCTCTGTCTAAATTTAATACGTTCTTCCGCCGATGCGTGGACGACGTGCCATTTTCATTGCGACGTTAAATCCTTGATCCTTTCAATGAGAATCACGAAGTCTGACAGAGTTATTAAGGTTCGACTTAATCGCGGGATTATTTACGTTTATTGAGAAGATTAATAAACGATTCGCGCTAATAAATAGCATAATCTTCCCTCTCCAGCCGGAAATGATTGGTCGATTGACGTTGAATCAACATCGATTCGACATTGGTCGATCAATCATTTCTGACTGGGTAGTCCTTGTTTCTCGCGATTGATTTTCGGTCAATTTTATTTTAGCAATTATTTTTCCGATCGACTTTCCGATCTAATGAGCAAAATGCTCACATCGGGAACGAAACTTCCTTCTTATATTATACCTCGATTGGAAAGAAAAATCGACTCATTATTCATCAAAGAACTTATCGTTAAAACTTGTTGTACCGAAGATAGGATACTTTACATGTATAAAATATTTTAATCGCCCACTAGTGCCCTTTCCTCCTCTCCACTCGCGTTTATCATAAAAGAGCCGGAGACTGGGCGTACTTCTCTGAAGTGGAAAGATCGGCGAGCTTCGAGTAGTAT